GTCTTCTATTCCATGTTTTCATTGCTCATTGGCTTGCTTCATATTTAGCATTGTCTGTAAGCGACCAAGTCTGAAGGAAGAGGATGGACACAAGCCTGAAATGTCTGTTTTTGAGCTGACCTCCAAGGGCTGAGTTCTGAAGTACTCCAACCAGCAACTTTAGGACACACTTTGCTTTAGGTCACCATTTCTAAATCTAGTAAAGACTTGTTTCTCATTCTTGTCTTTGTGTCCCTGAGAACTGGTTTGTTTAGTTTTGTCTGTCTGGACCCATGGGTGATGACTGGCCATTGGCCATGTTTCCAGGATCAGAAATCACATCTTTATCAAACACTATTACTCCTAGTTATCACAATCTAAAACTGCACCTCTTCCCGGCCAAACACCTGCTTCCTTCCTGTCTACCCATTATAACAGTAATTCGTACACCTACCTCTTTAATAGGCACAATTTCCCCAGGGATCTTTTGGAACTGCAATGGCCACTTAGGCTTTGGATGTGAACAAGATAGTTCATTTGAAAAGTACTTTACAACAGAAAGCACCCTCATGAGCACATTGCTTGTCTGATTTGTGTAAAATGAAAGATAATTTTGTTCATTGTAGGGCTTATCCCTCTGTTTCCATAATTTGGAGTTAAGCAGTGCTGGGGTTTTTTATTACATGATTTGATAAAATTATCAAGGACCTAAGTTACTGGCCAAGAGTGTTGTCATTCTCTTTAATTAATGCATATGTTAAAACCTGGTTTTCAACACCCTAGACTTTTCTTTCTCTTCTTGGAGAAAAACACAAAATAAAGCTTGACAGTGACAATTTTGTATCTGCCTAAAGCCGGCTGGCTTCCTTATATTTTCTTCTTTATTTTTTCTGTTCCTCTTACTCTCTATTTCCTTTTTTTGGGAAAATAAACATCCTCTGACTTATAAAAAAAGTATGTTTTAAGCATCCCAAAATACCTAGATTGCTTTTATGAATAAGTTACCACTGCTTCTATAACTTCTTAAAAATTAAACTTCATTAAAATATATTTATAAACTATAATCAACTTAATGGAATGATAATAAAAATATAATTTAAACTGATTCTTTACCAATATTCTTCTCATCTTTTTTAAAAGGTTTCTATTGTCACCACATACCTTGAATTTCTCTATGTACAATGTAAAAGTGCATACCCATTCCAGCACCATTAATTAGTAAAGTGAGCCAGCTTGTCAGCATTTGCTGTGTGCGGAAAATGTAATCAACTTTAACAAAGGTTTTCTAGTTATATATCAAAGCATCAGCAAATCAGAGGGTATCGAGGAGTGCAGCAGTTTAAATTGTGAAAAAAATCTTTATCCCTTTACGTTCTGTCTTCTGGTGTCTTTCAGGCCATATCCCCTCATTCCCTTACTGGCTCCTCTTCCTCTGCCAGACAATGGGATCTCATAGATCCTCATATCCCTATGAGCTGTGGCTGTTTTTCATACATTCACTAATATATCTATACACATATTCTATATACATATTTTCCCTCTAGGTGATTTTGTCCACTCTGACTATTTTTAGTCATGACTCCCAAATTCTTATTTCCAGGCCATACCTTTTCCCCTGGCTTCATTCACACCCAAGCTGCAGGTGTTGTTTCTGACCCCTGTGCCTTTGTGTATGCTACTTCTCTGCCCAGAACACCTGCTATGTCAGTCTGACTCTTACACCTAGACTTACCACCGGTGCCACTCTCCCTAGCAGGCTGAGGGGCATAGGTGCCTCTATTCCATTACTGTAGCAGCCTGGGCATCTCCCTTTCTTTACATGTAGCCTGCTAAATTATAATCGTCTTTTTTATTATATTACAACCATTTTTGTTAACAGCAGTTATCAATCATGGGTATAAGGTAACATTTACACAGTAAGTTGTTGAACAAACAGGCTCCGTTTTTAATCTGCACAGTGCACTTAACAAACCATTAATTTCAAACTAGATCGTCTTGTGGGGGGGATGCAAATTAAGTTTCATAAGCATCGACCATTTATTACGCCTTTTTCTGTTAAAGATTGAGTTACGTATATCCTATAATTAGTAAAATAGCCATTAAACTTATGACTTTCTACCAGCAAAGTCACAGGACTGTTAGAATGGCATGTTTACCTATTTCAATAGGTCCCATAACTACTGCTACTCACTCTAAATCCATTGTCCCACAGAAACAAGAATTGTTGCTATTCACTGAACATGGTTCTGTATGGGAAATATATTGCTCTCATTCACATTGTCTCACTGATTCCTCCCCAAAACCCACTAAAGTAAACTCTATTATTATGCCCACTTACTAGAAGACACTGAGGTTGAAAGAGATGAACATTTCCAGAGTCATCCAGCAAATAAGGAACAGAGTGGATTTGAACCTGCCTCATTCCAGAGAGCTTGAGTTCTTAAACACCATGGCATATGACTTTTCAACCATTGGAAGGAGGTTTGTATGTGGTAGGCCAGTCATCACCAATAATGGTGCCAAACTAAACCTTTTGATTCCAGGCAGAGAAAACTAAACAGGCCAGTTCTCAGAGGCAGAAAAACAAGACTGGCACTGCAGAAAAACAAAGAACAAAAGTGCTACCCAAGTCACAGCCTAGCACACTGAATGGCTTATCTCTGCCACAAAGAGTACGTGTGCCTATAAATACAACTATGGATTGTAAATCTATTAAAAATCAGAATTCAGGTCCCATCAGTTTTGGTACTGTCTTCTTCGATATGGTCTTGTACTTGAAGAAATACTGGTCTTTTAAAGGAACAGCCATACAGTGGCAAGAACTATTTGCTCATCAAGGATCATAGACTGAACTGACTTTGCAGGATGTATGCATTTTTCACTGTCAATAAATTATTTAGGTAAAAAACAACTCTCAGAAACAGATGAGGGACTGATGGAACCTTGCAGCAGGGGAGGTACTGAAGGAGAACCTAAGAACCTCGGGGAAGCAGCAGTGGAGGTGGGGTGGCAGTCACTGTACTTTGTGTCTTGCCTGTGACACCTTTCTGGCAACAGGGTTAGATAGACTGGGTCTTCAGAGGAAAAAGAAAAGTGTTTTTTTGTTTTGTTTTGTTTTGTTTTGTTTTCTTATAAATATCTTGATGGGCTTCGTCCTTATTTCTTCGCCATTTTGTTAATAAGCCTCAAGTATTTCAGGAAATGAAGACTTAAATGTACAACCAGCACTTGATATGTTTTTTTCTTCTCCAGGGCCTACCATGCCCCTAACGTGGTAACACTGATAATATCCTAACAATTGCGCAGTAAAAACAAAACAGAAAATCTTATTGGTTATGGTTACCTATACCTTAACCTATAAGGATAAGCCCCTAACCTATAGGAAATGGTACTTCTTTTAATTTGCCGAGTGCCTCATATGTCCCTAATATATGCAGTAAGTGAACAATCTCAGTCCTCTGGGGTGTTATGACTATTTAACACATGGGGAAGCATTCTGTATTGAAAGGTGAGGAGTGAACAACTGGACATCCTGTAACCTGTGCATGGTACCCTTGGGATCTATCTCCTCAGCAATTAGGGGATAATAATCTGCTTAACAGAAGTGTGCGTGGCCTGGCCTTTGTACACCTCAAAGACTACCACATGAGAAAAGTAATCTCAACATTCATTCCACTAGCAGTGAAGTGACACAAGTACTAACAGAAGCTGAAGGGGAATCTTTTCTTTGATATTTATTTGTCCATTGTCCTCTCTTTGGTCATCAAGGAAAAAAAAAACAAAACTGAGCTCTAAGAGAGTGGAAACCCATTTGGCCTCATTCATAGCTGTGCTCCCATTACCCGTCACCTACCACTGAGCATGTTATGTACAGATGCTCCATAAATACTGGGGAGGAAAGAAAGTCTACGTGGGAAAACAGGATGAAGATGTACTTTAAAAAAAAAAAGAAGAAGAAGAAGACTTCAACTCTGACTCACAGGAGAGATTAATTCAAAGAAATAAAATACAAACTGGGATCTTTTTTGTGGGCCCTGTGGATGACGAGGAAGCTTGTGGAAAAGAGTGAAATGGAAGGGTCAACCAAAGGCAGAAAAAGATTGCCAGCACTTAACTTTTAAATGTGGATTCTGGACCTGAAATGTGTTTCTCCCTGCACTGAAATCATTTGTCCTTGCCTTTTCTCATAACTCACATATTTATTAAAGCACTTCTGTGGTATTAAGCAATGCAACCCCTACAGTCATTGTTGGAATGAGGTTATTATTTCAGTCCAGTGGAAGAACATTTCATTTGTTGTTATAAAGCAAAATCAAACCTAGTACATTTCCAAAGGAGCATAATATGATGGCGACAAGACCATTCTGAAACTAGAAACTTGAGAAAATCATTTTAAAAGCTCACAAGCATATGTTACTCATGACTAAAGGCGCCGCACTGTTATGCAACATGAGTGTCAGGGGAACAAATTTCCAACCTCATGACTCACGCTTCTGTATTACACGTAATACTGGGCGTTCCCTTCATTTTAAAGAAATGTGAGCATAAGTGTGTGTATAAAAATATCTGATATCCAAACCATGCAAACACAAAGCTAACAGCTTAAGAAAATTCTAAGTTGACAGTGTGTCCTCAGAGCCACTATTCCAAGTGGGAAAGTTACTCCACTTTTTGAAAAGTATAGCCAGATAGTCAACTTCCTGCCCCAGACCAGCTGGGTCCCACCTTCTCTTTCCTAGAACTGGTTTCTGAACTGCCCATACAGGGCAAGAGAACTACAGCCTGGGAGGAGGCCACAAAAATAATTTCCCCCGCCGCACCCATACCTACTCTGCCTCCCCTTTACCTTAAGGCGAGCAGGGAGAGCTCCCATCTCTGCCCACCGCCAGGACAGTGGGTCCCTCCGGGCTTCCCTCACCCGCCCACAACGCCTCGAGGGTGACCTGCACCAAAGCCGACCCACCAGTACCTGCTCCAGAGGTCTCCGGCAGGCCCCGGGACTACACAGCTCTCTCGACAACACGATTTTCACCGACTTTATTGGTCCCCCACACCGGTGGGCCCCTCGCAGCCCACCTCCCCAATAGATTGCGCTGACCCTCCGTGACATCCAGCATATTCAAAACCACTGCGGGGCGGCTATGAAGAGGCTTTGCTCAGAAAGCCAGCTCCTCTCTAGCGGCGTCAGGGTCACTTGCTCTTCGCCTTCTGACTCTCCGTCTTCTTGGGCAGCAGCACGGCCTGGATGTTGGGCAGGACACCGCCCTGAGCGATGGTCACTTTTCCCAGCAGCTTGTTTAGCTCCTCGTCGTTGCGAATGGCGAGCTGCAGGTGGCGAGGGATTATTCTTGTCTTCTTGTTGTCGCGTGCAGCGTTGCCTGCCAACTCCAGGATCTCAGCAGTCAGGTACTCCAACACCGCTGCCAGGTACACCGGCGCTCCAGCGCCAACTCGTTCCGCGTAGTTACCTTTGCGCAGCAGTCTGTGCACTCGGCCCACCGGGAACTGCAGTCCTGCGCGGGAGGACCGGGACTTAGCTTTTGCCCGCACTTTGCCGCCCTGCTTTCCGCGACCAGACATGTTCACCTCTTGTCTAAAACTCCACGGAGAGAAAAAAACGCCAGCAATCCCGTCAGGGTATAGGAACCAAGCGTAACACACCGGAACCACCCCTCTCTCTCGACACTTTGCGGTCACTAGGCAGTGCCTTCCCATTGGACGCCGCAGCATTCTCGGCTCCGACAACCAATGATAGGCAGGCTCCACTCCCAGTTAGCATGCTGGCAGAGAGACCGCCTTCTCCAGCTCTGTCCAATCAAAACAGAAAACCTGTGCTTTGGGTTGGATCCTTTGAATTGATTGGATCCTGAGGTTTCAGTGTTCTCACTCCCACTCAGGAAAATAAAGTCTTGAGAATTAAGGAACCATGGTTAGGAAGATCCGGAAGAAGACATTCTCGATCCACATGTACAAAGAGCTCAAGAAATAAATGCCCCTTGAGGTCCCGCACAGTGTGTCAGACATCGCCGCACCCTCTAGGAGGCATTTTTCACATAATACAGCATCCTAGGCAGGTATAGTTAAATAATTCCACAGCCCGCACTTGTGGCAAGGCACTTGTGGGCAACACTGGTTCTCAAGCAAAATCACAAACTCTTTACCAAATTCTGCCTGCTCAATACCGGGCACTTTGTTCCTTTAAACAAGTGCCTGGCCTCCTGTAAACCCGGAGACTCCAGATGATTACTCAGCAGTGTGAGGAGCTGGCTCAGAGAGAAGTTCCGTATGGAGTTGGCCATCTGATTTTAACCAGACCAGACGAAACTGGACTCCCCAAAGAAGCTCTGCGGATCACAGGCTGCCAATCTGGTTTGTAAAGGCTATGAAACTTGAGTGCTAGACTAGATGTGAATGCATTCTTCCAGAGAGAGAGGGCAGGAATAAGCTCACTTGGTCAAAACCTAAATACCTCTTGTGTCTGAAGTTATAAGACTGAAAAGAACCTCTGGGTTGTACAGATGATGCAGGCTCCACTTGGTTGCTGAGGCTGAAAGTCTTGGCCTCTTGCTTTAGCCTAGTCCAAGGTCATGGGCACCTCAGATCACATTGTCCATGAAGACTATGAAATACTTGTAGATGCGCCCAATGGTAAATAAAGTCAACTAAGACATTCCGGTGGCACTCAGAGGTCATGAAAAGACTCAAGAAAAAAAGAAGGCAGCAACTGTCTTTGCAGAGCCATAGCATTTGGAACAACATAAGGGTTTTTTTTTTAATTAGAAATTACTTTCTACTAATTCACTGAGGTAATTTCATTTACCTCAATATTTTCCATAATTATACAATTACATGGCTGTGTGATATAATGTTAAATACACATTAAACAATATTTTATGTGGATTACAGTATCCACCAAATTTACCCTCTCACCAACCAATAAAGATTTGATTTCATGGAAAAACTTTTTTCAACTATATATGTATAGTTGAAAACAATTTTTATGTATAGTAGCAGAGGCTGAACAAATGTCGCTGGAGCTGAGAAGCAGTATATTGTCATGGTTACATGGTCATCCTGGATCCAGACTGCTCTGTATGAATCCTGACTCTAACCACTTCCCAGCTGACCTTGGATAAGTTATTGAACCTCTCTGTACCTATCCCAAAGTGTTTTGAAGATCAAATATGTTAGTAAGCATCCAATAATTGTTAGATAAACTGAATTAATGGACATGCACATCTCTGATGCAGTTTTTAACAAGATGTTCCTAGAATGAGTTTTGTAAATTTAGCTTACATTTTTGCCTATATGTTGGGAAAATTTTTAAACAGATATTATTATTATTATCATTGGCCCAGTTTTTCATTTTATTCTTGTAAACAAGGGAGATTTCTAACTTGAAAATGTTCTAACCTTGATGTCTTAGTCATGGTCAGTATAATTAAACCTATTCTACCGTTACAAGAATTCTGACTATTCAGAATCTAATAGGCTTTTCTTCTTCCCTCTAACTCAAGACTTAAAATCTTAGTACAATTCAACTATTCGAGGTTTTTTCAGCCATCTAGTGTTCCAAGGGCTCCTTCAAGTCATCTTTCTTTAAAACAATTTCTTTTTAAAAAGATTTTTAAATTTATTTTTAGAGAGAGGGGAAGGGAGAGAGAGAGAGGGAAAGAAAGATCACTGTGTAAGAGAAACATGGATCGGTTAGCTCCTGCATGCCTCCACCCAGGAATCTGGCCTGCAACCCAGCATGTGCCCTGATCTGGAATTGAACTGGCTAACTTTCAGTTTGTGAGATGATGCACAACCCATTGAGCCACACCAGTCAGGACAAGACTAGGGACAGGAAGCACAATTTTTATTTATATTTATTCCTCAAGATATTAGGTACCTGGGAAAAAGTTTTAAATCATCCTCAAAATACTGCTGCTTCTTATTACAGTAAAACCTTTTGGGAAGACAGAGTCCTGCTTCTTAGAGTGGTGACAACACTAAATTTTGCTTTTTGTTTAGGAATTCCCCTAAGAAAAAGATGGAGAGCCTCCTAATTGGGGATTTGTAGTATAAATCACTGCTTGTAGCCACAATCATGGCATCGTTATTTTACAAGAACTTTGAATTTTTTAATGGAAGTAAGAACCTCGGGTTTCAAGGAAATAAGAAATTTACAGCATTTCAACTAAATGAAACAACAGAAATCATTATTTGGTTGAAAAGTGAATACACGATTGGGTGAGGGAGCAGAGGACTCAGGGAAATCTGCAGATTATGCAGAATCAGCAGCAAGGGAAAAGGTTGAGGAGGGAACAAGGGGGAAAGTTAGAGCTTTGAAATAATTTTAATTCTCCACTAGGCCACAAAAGAGAACAGAGAACCATTAAAAATTTTTCTCTTTCCCCACTAATGACTTAAAGAGATGCACAGGTGAAAAGCTGTAAAGCAATTGCTTTGAAATCCTACAAGATGTAGAGCATCGCTGGTTCCTATTGATTTTCACATTAGTCTGGAAATGGTTATTATAGGAGTGAGCACTCCATTTGAAAACTATAGAATTAGGATTTGAACACACATGAGAGAGAGACCAAGGGCTGGCAGGGAGGTGGGGAATAGAGAGCGATGGAGGGAGGGAAACCAAGCACGCAAAGGATCTGGCCTACTTTGTTTTAAGCGTTGAGAAAAGACAAGATACATTCTCTTGAGTCTTTTCTCAGTTTTATGGCAAAAATAACAATAAGTTTTCCCCAAAAAGCAAACAAAAATAGTCAGTCTTGTTCTCCTTCCTACTTGCTTGACTCACTATTGCAGAGAGAAAAAAAAAGTCTCCTGGGGGCCTAGAGCTCTGTTCACTTTCTTGAGGTTTTCAAATGCAAGGAACTAGAAGCCCTGGTCTAATCTGCAAGGAACTAGAAGCCCTGGTCTAATCTCACAGCATTGTTGGCTGCTTACATAAGGATGCCTGATCCAGGTAAAGGTGGCAAGGTCTGGTTAGGGGAGGCACCAAGCACCACCAGAAGGTCTTAGAGAAAATACCGAGGACATTATGAAGCCTAGTATTCACTGTCTTGTGGAGCAAGTGGTGCCAAGCATATCTCTGGAGTCACCTATGAGGAGATTCAGGGAGCTCAAGGAGGTTCTGGAGAATGCGACTGGTCCTGTGGCGACTTACAGGTAGTTTGCCAAGCGCAAGATGGTCTGACCATGGCTGTGGTGTGTGCACTGAAACGCCATTCTCATTCTGTATGGCTTCCACAGCTTACCTCCAGACTCCACAAGGCCCTTTTTATGGCCCCCAAACACATCAAGAAAAGAGTCGTTAATACTACCTTCCGTGTGAATGTTGGATCAAAATGCAGATAGGTGCTTTTGATGATGTGTTCCAGATGCCACTAAAAGTAGTAAAGTTGTGGTGGAAGCAACTGCTCTGGAGGGTGTCTCCAAGTAACAGGCTTAAGTTTGAGGTTTGGGAGGAGGGTTGGCATGAGCAGTCAAGCTCTGAGTGGGGGAACCCAGCGCTGCACCTGGGATGTCTGACTACTTTGGTATCTGTTTGGGAGGTGGAAGCGTCTCTACAAACTGTACGTTTTAGGAGTGGCAGAGGGCTTCTAGGCAGCTCAGGCCTCTGGCTCTGAACAAGTTCAGAGTGGCTTCTATGTAAGTCAGGGCTCACCGACATAACACCTCTTATTGGACATTTGGGCCACGTCAGAGAAGCAGTTCTTCCCTAATGTTGCAGGGTGCCTGCCCTCCCAGAGCTGGGGACGTTGCAGTGTCCAATAGGAAAGCACCTGCTGCAGGCAAGTCCAAAAATGCAAAATACATGCAGCTCTAATGTGGTTTGCTGGAGTATTGTGGGGTATGAATGTTTTGTTTTTTTCACTGATGTTTTGATTAAGTGGTGATCAAGTTCAGACACTGATGACAAGATGGCCAAGTGTGGGTGACATCCAAGATCGGGTCAAACTCGCGGCCTCTGCACTACCCATGGGCCATCTGCACATCACAGAGCCAGTGATCATCCCTCTCTCAGATCTAGTAGCTGGAGTCAGTGCTGAACCCCTAACAGGGGAAATGCAGGAATTAGCCCATAGTGCAGCCAGGGGCGAGGGGCAGCATCCTACCCAGCATCCAGGCCCTGCTGTTGCTCAGGAGACTGTCAAGTGACCGGTTTCAGCCTGGAGATAAGACCTGGCCTCAGAGTAAAGGCTATTTTCAGAGCCACTCACGGGACTATGGAAGGGAGATGGGTGGTGGGTTGGTTCTACTAAGTTCTGTGAAAATGGTATGGGCAAGAGAACTGTGTAATAACGGGGTCCAGCTGTGTGGCTCAGAAGCCGCCTGTTTCGTTTTCTAGGGGCCATTGTAGGGCTCGAGATAGGGGGCCCGCTTAACGCGCAGGCCAGCTGGGGCTGCCAGTGAGGCCAGGTGCTACATAACTCAGTTTGATGGCTCCCTTGTACTACTAACTAAGCCTTTTTTATATGACAGAAACAGGTAAGGCGCTTAGGACCCTTTAAATGCTGGGTGAATCCCAGCTCTGGCTTGCCTAAACATCCTGAAGTCAGTTAGCTTCCTGGATGTGGTTGCCCAGAGTGCCTCTGGGGGAGTTTCCCATCTTTGACAGCTATGTATGTCTCATTTTAAATGATATATGTCTCAAATACACTCAGGGAACCATTTCTTGTACTCC